AAGGTATTAGAATAAAGAAATCCTACCTTGTCTACTTTGGCATGGGTCCATTGAGCAAGCAATGGGTGATTGAGAAAGAGGCTGATTGATATCCATAGGACTTGTCATATTACCATCTGATTATTGAGAGTCTATAGTGGTCTTTTATGTAGGACACAAATATTTTCATATTCTGTGCTATGTTGAAAGGTTCATTCAGACATCCACAAACCTCTCCCCCTTTTTAAACTTTAAAAATTTTTATTAAAGGGACACCTGGGTGGTTTAGTCAGTTAAGCTTCCAGCTCTTGGTTTTGGCTCAGGTCATGATCTCATGGTTCATGAGATTGAGCCCCATGTCAGGTTCTGTGCTTCAGCATAGAGTCTGCTTGGGATTCTCTCTCTCTTTTTTTCTCTGCTTCTCTTTCTCTCTCTCAAAATAAATATTTTGAAAAATTTTATTTAAAAAAGATGAAACGAACATTTGGGAATATACTCTCCCCTTTAAAAATTTTTTTTAAATGTTTATTTATTTTTGAGAGATAGAGACAGAACAAGAGCAGCAGTGGGGCAGAGAGAGAGGGAGACACAGAATCTGAAGCAGGCTCCAGGCTCCGAACTGTCAGCACAGAGCGTGATGCGGGGCTCAAACCACAGACTGCAAGATCATGACCTGAGCTGAAGTCAGACGCCTAACCGACTGAGCCACCCAGGCACCCCTATACTCTCCCCTTTAAAAAATTTTTGAATCTTACTCTTTCTAACTCTTTCACCAGCAAGCCATCCATTAGCTACTGGCCACAAGTCAGCATAAATGTGTACCTTTGGCATACATTTCCCCTGACATCACGTATACTGCTGAGAATTCTGCGCAATGGGAATATTTCCCTTTTGGGGACCATAAAAGACCATATGGTCTTTTTGGACCATGGGCTACATTATCTCATTTCTGGTCAGGGCTAGCACACCATGCGTGTCCATTCATAAGTGGGTATGTCTTTTCCCTCCTCTGCTAACTGGTTGTAGAATGAACCCCATGAGCATGTGTTGAGAGAGCCAACAAGGGATGGAGAATACTGTTCATGATGGGCTGTTCTTGTTATATAGTCTCTTGGTTTCCCATGGGCAGGTATACAGTCTTTACCTGAGCCTAGTAGCAAGCCAGGAACCAAATGGACAAAAGTTACTGACAGTACCTTAAAGAGTCTATAGCTCTTACACTTCTCTGGATTCTTGTTAGAGGCTCCTTACCCCATCCCTGTCTGCCGTGTCATTTTGTAGTACTAGTGGGTGTGCTAAGGCATAGCCCCAAGAGTTAGGGCAGCTTTTCTTGCTGAAGAGCCTTCTTTGGGATCAAGCCCCAGTAAAAACTGGCAGTCTTTATACTGGGTTACCCAGTATAAAGGTCAGAGCAGCATTTCCAAATAGGAAACTCACCAGTTGTTTTATCTGTTTCTTAGTGGATATAGTGCCAAGGGTAGCAATGTCTCACTTTACATGGGATATCCTGCCTCAGACCTCTGGAACCATAGAAACTGTCATTGTGATCTTTGAACTTTCATGGGGTTTATAACTTCATCCTCTGGCTTTTACATGTGTCTTACAAAGGCATCCTGAGTGTTTGCTGCTTGTTGTTCACCAGATCCAGTTAACAGTGCCATCAGTGTATCAATGTGATAGACTAGTGTGGTGATCTGTGGGATATTGTGATGATCAGGGTCCTTCCAGACTATATTATGACAGTGCAGAAATAGCCCTCAGTTAAAACGTTGAAAGTGTACTGTTGTTTCTGGCACTTGATAGCAAATTGCATCATATTGTCCTTACTGATGATGATAGAAAAGAAAACATTTGCCAAGTCCATATTTATCTGCCGGATATCAGGGGTTATTCTCATTTTCTCCAGCAAGAAGTATTACATTTAGAAGTGCAGTCATGATTGGCCTCACCATCTGATTAAATTTATACTAATCTGTTGTCATGTTCCAAGATCTTTCTGGCTTTGGTACAGGTAAACAGGCAAGTTAAATGGAGATATGATAGGAATCAACGCCTCTGTATCCTTCAAGTTTTTTGATAGTAGTACTGATTCCTGAACTTCTCCCATGGATGTGGTAGAGCTTTGGGTTTACTTTCATAGTGGGGACAGAGGGAAGAGTTCCAAGGGCTTCTTCATGGCCCTTTCTTTGTAATATCTTTTATGACGTGGGATGGGAACCAATATGGGAACTTGGCCAGTTAGTAAGTATATCCGTTTGTAGAAAAATTTTAGGACTAGGGAAATAACCACAAAATGGGCCTGTGGTCCCATTGTACCCACCATGAGATACAAGGGTTGACTTCATCACACATTTCTTTTCTGGAATGAGATAGGTGCTCTGACTGGTGGGCCATGTTTTGGGTGTTTAAGGTTTAGTGTCAGTTTAGAGCTAGTGTCTAGTAACCTTTGGAAGAACTACACATTTCTCCTACCCCAGTGGGCAGTCACCCTTGTGAATGGCTGCGGGTCCCTCTTAAGGAATGTCTGGAGAAAGATTGATGGGATACATTATGGCCATGTATAGGTTCACAGTAATCTTATATATTTAGTCCTCCTTGGTCTGGTATGCTTCGAATGTACTCCCATTATGTGCTCCTCAGACGCTTGCTAATAAAAATTTTTGAGATCTGCAAATTTTTCAGTATAAAGGCAGTCTATTCCCAGAGTAGGCTTTGAACTTCTTTCTGTACTCTTTTGGGATCTAACTCCTGTTAGCATGCAACAAGAGGTGATAGGAATAGGTAGTGAGAATTGGCATCCTACTTAATTGTCTACTATGCATGCACATTTATATGTCCCCTGTACCTCATATGAAACAACTTATCCTGCTTCCCAGCTCTTTCCCCCTTATCTATTCCTGATGCCACTTAATGTCTTATCTTTTTTTTTTTTTTTAAACGTTTATTCATTTTTGAGAGAGAGAGACCAAGTGTGAGTGGGGCAGGGGCAGAGAGGGAGGGAGACAGAATCCGAAGCAAGCTCCAGGCTCTGAGCTGTCAGCACAGAGCCCGATGCTGGGCTCAAACTCACAGACTGTGAGATCATGACCTGAGCTGAAGTCGGACACTCAACTGACTGAGTCACCCAGGTGCCCCAACTTAATGTCATATCTTAACGGTCCCTTCCAAAGGGAAGACCGGAGGCATGATGTTCTCCTGTAGTTCTCCTGTAGACCATGGACAGTAAGGCACAAACAGACATTCAGACTCGTACATAATACAATACCAGGAGGACCCACACTCCCTGTGTCCCACATTCTCAAGGGACAGGTGTGGAAAGCATAGCACTGTAATTTTCACCTTCTTGTCACTTCTCCTGCAGCTGGAGAATGGGCTGATGTGGGTCTGGTCGGGTTAATCTGCCTTAGAAGAGCTGAGATTCCATCTGCTCTGATTCTTTAGCAGTAGAGTGCTGGGCCTACAGGGCAAGACTGCTCAGGTGGCTGCCCTGGTCTAATGGAGGCGCTGAAGAAGCTGGCTGCTTTTATGGGGCACTCTGAGCTTAGGAGGTGGCAGTTACATTTCTGTTTTCTGACTACTAATTCAACTACATATAAATCCTTCTTGACTGCATTTCCAGCATCAAATCTAGCCAAGCAGGTTTTTAGTCACCTCAAAGGAAGTACCCTTATAATCAGTTAAAATTCACCCTACCTGAATATTCAATGCCTATTGATAGATATTTGAAATCATTATTTGAATATAATTTACTTACAATTATTAGATCTGTCAGAGTGACTTCCTAAAATTAATCACCAGGGAAACTGCCAAACTAACTCTTTAAAGAGAATTATTTGGTGTCAGTGGAGAGTATGGGCTGCTGCGTTTAGCAAAAGTTACATCAGTTTAACATCTCGAGCCCTTTGTCCTTGGGTGGAATGATATTAACATAATTGTATTTATTCTACATGAAGATCTGTAATGTCTCTGACCAGAGGTCCAGCGCGTAAGAATTATCCAGTTATTATGATGCAGCACAACACAGTGGTTAAGAGTCAAGACTCTGGAGCCACATAGCCTGGGTTCAAATCCTGGATGGGCGATTTATATAACGCCTTCATGTCTAAATTGTCTCTCACTTGTAAAACAGGAGTAAATAGTTATCTATACTGTATAAATATACTATATATAATAAATAGTTGCATACTAACTATATATCTACTATATATGTGTGTGTATATACACACTGTGTGTGTATATGTATATATTTATATTTATATATATATATTTACCTACCTACTATAGGTACTATATATACCTACTGTATACCTACTACATATAAGTGTATATATATACGTATTATAGGTATATATATCCATATACATACCTATATAAGTATGCAATAGGTATATAGGTATATATAGGTATGTATACTATAGGTATATACTATAGGTATATCGGTTGGCTCAGTTGGAAAAGCATGTGCCTCTTGATCTTGGGGTGTTGGGTTTGAGCCCCACATTGCACGTAGCAATTACTTAAACTTAAAATAAAAACACACTTTTTAAAAACACTGCTCTAGGTCTGCCTGGGTGGCTCAGTCGGTTAAGTGTCTGACTTCAGCTAAGGTCATGAGCCTGAACCTGCTTTGGATTCTTTGTCTCCCTGTCTGCCCCTCCCCTGCTTGCACACGCACGCACTCTCTCTCAAAAATAAATAAACATTAAACAAAAACTTAAAAACCCTGCTCTAAATCTATCAAAGTAGAGACCTTTTAGGTGAAAGTTGCTGTCAGTCCCATGAACTGTGGTGTACAAGCTTTTAGAATTTAGCAGTAAGGAAGGTAGATGGGATGCACATGTTTGATTTTGGTTTAGCTATTCATAGGCCTGAGATCCTAAATCTCTAACCTGGACTGAAACTTACAATCAAATATAAATTCTTGTCAGAATAAGCATAAAGTGGTTGCTATGAATAAGGAATGATGGTATTTTAAAATTATTTTGCTAATCTTTTTTCTTTGTTTTTTTCTGCTGGCTAAGGTTGCATGATGGAATTTGAATATTACCTCAAGAGGTTTTATGCTTTGGATTAGCTAACAGTGTTTGTCCTCTGCTGACTATTTCTCGGACTCATTTTTTGGTGTCCATTTGAGGCAATAAACCCAAAGGGATTATACCATGGACTACAAGGAAAGCTGCCCCAGTGTAAGCATTCCCAGCTCAGATGAACACAGAGAGAAAAAGAAGAGGTTTACTGTAAGTATATAATATAAAGCATATGGGGGAAAATTGAACATAGAGAGTATTTCCATTTCTGCTTTTGTTCTTCCTTAACCTGGAATGTCCTCCCCATGTTTCCACATATCCAGATTTTACTTATCTTTCAAATGATGTATCCTCCCCAGTCTTCCCTGTGTACTATAAGGGAATACAGTTACCTTTTCAGATTTTTGCCTGTTTACCTATCCCCTTGGAAAAGCTTATGAAACTCTGATAGATCCTCTCACCAGAAAATGTGCAGACACAAGGATCTACAAACATGCACGTAATTTTGCATGCAGTCAGGAGGTTAATGGACTCCAGAAGTCACTAGTCTTATGTTAAGAACTACTGTCTCAACAAAACAAAACAAAACAAAACAAACATGGTTTTGAAATTTCCATAGTGTCTTTCTTGACATTTATATTTTCTACCTCAATTTTTAAAAATTTTAATCCAGTATTTTATCTTTTGTTTACTTTAAAAGCAAAGTCCATTTCTAATTTTACTTTTGACCACTGTAATACATACTATGGAACTATAAAGAATAAGAACAGTGAGTGTTTGCTGAATCATTGTATCAGTGACTATTATTGGAGAATAGCCATTTTTCTAATTAGTGTAGTGACACATACAGTATTTAGTTCCAGTAGCCCTGTTAGTGTGTATGTCCGGAGATCTCCTGCCCGCCTCCCCCTGAAATAATACCATTTATCTTGTTTATAACTGATCCTTATAACTGATTCCTTGTAAGCCCCACCCACTGAGTAGTATGAAAAAATTCATTTAACCCAGTTCTGTTTAACACTTAGTTGGAGCTAAAATTTAAGCAGTTCTTTTAAGTTAAAATGCTCAGGCTGTCTTCATTCTGCTGTCTCTCTCCCATATGAACACACACTTCTCCAACTTGACGTCATGGTTTATGAGTGGAGAGGTGTCCCCTTTCACAGTATTAAGTCAGTGACTGATCTCATGGTAGCCTGCTGAAGGCTCTTATATTCTTGTCATCCCTCTAGATCTTTGCTGTTCCAAATGTACAGTGACCGGTCTGGCAAGCAGCCAGCTGTGGTTGACCTGATCCAGGGCTGGGCATTTTCTTGGCATCCATTGCTGTCATCTGCAGTCAGCCAACTTATTTGTGATCTATTCTTTGTTGGCTTGGCCAGAGTGGTGGAGATTTACTGCCAATTCACCTTCTCCTTGTCTCTTGATGGCTGTAGAGCCCACTGAGGCTCTGCTATGCCTTTCACTGCTCTTTTGATTCAAGTGATCTACCTTGGCCTCTGACTCGGGGGTCAGTCACCTGGCTCCTGCCAGGTGCATCCTATGACAAATGACTTGCAACTCAGAATTCCTGTCACATTCCTGTCACTGAGGAGTTAAACTAAACCCTTTGGTCTGACAAATCCAGTCTCCCTTCTTAACTAGGTGGGGCTGGGGCCCCCAAATGATACTTCTCTCCCAAAGTCCCAGACGAGGAGCTGGAAATAGCTTCTGTCCTCTCTTCTCCTTTTTTAATAAACATACCTCCACACCCTGCACCAAAGCCCAGAGTAGAGATTGCAGTGTGTGTCTGGCCATTTGCCTCTGCTCAGTCTCTGTTGCAGCAATATCTTAAGCATTGTGCATTCCACAGTCTTATAAGCAAGTTTTAGAAGTATCTTGCTGATGGTAAACAAGAAGTCAGTATACCTTTGGTAAAATAGTGGAATGTGTGAAAGTTTGTTTTTTCTTCTCCTTATTTTTACTTTTGAGCATTCTCTCCTTCAAGGGCATAACCTCCTGTCAAGTTTGATGGAAGTTCATATATATCAAATATAGGCAGTGAGTTATCTCAGGTCCATTTACTTTTTCATGGTAGAGGTATTTCCGGAGCACCTATGTGAGTCAGCCAGTTGAGGATCTGACTCTTGATTTCAGCTCAGGTCATGATCAGGGGCTTGGAGTTGAGCCCCATGTTGGTCTTCATGCTGACTGTGGAACTTTGCTTGAGGTTCTTTCCCCTCTCCCCCCCATAACATCACTCCCTTGTGTAGGCACTCACTCACCCTTTTCTAAAATAAAATTAAAAAAATTTTAGTAGTGGTACAGCTACTTCAGCCTAGCTACTTCAGCTATGTGTGGGTTCTAGTCTTGGTTATACTTGGGTAACCATGGGAAGCCACCTTACCACACTAGGAAGCCAGCATAAGTAATTCAAGAAGCTTGCAATCATCTAAACCTAAATTTCTGATCCTTTGGTAGCAGTCCTACTTCCAGTCCAATCTGATCCTAAATGCTCTATGAGATGAATCTGTAGTTAAGTCTTAGAAACATGGTGCAGCTTCACTGGCACCTTGACCACGTTCTTTATTCTCTACTTCCGCATTCTCTCCTTATGAACAGTTATCATTTCACAAACAAACAAATCTTACATCCAGCAGCTTCCCCTAAGAGAACTTGATGCCTTTTGGTTAAGACCAGAAGAGCCATGTTACCACCCATCATCACATGTGGCTCATGTAGGGGCCCGGATCCTCTTTTTCTCTTAGCCTATACGTAATACATCACTTACTCAGGTGACTGATACCAGTGACTTTGTTTCACCTTTCAGGTGAGGCCTTATCCTCTCCTATGGAGGAATGTGGCTTTACATTCTGGGACGCCTCTCACTGTGGCTTGTTAAGGTGACCGTATCTCACACAGTGCTATAGAGTTCATATGTTGTAATCACATGCAGTATCAGAGAAGTGCTTTTCTCACAGTATTTTCTCTAACTATGAACTTGTGAATGTAGCTTCCAATCTTTTATGGGAAAGGATAGTTTATACATATTTGTATGCCTATCTTCTAAAATAAACCTGGTTTACTCTAAGTTGTCTAATAGACTGTGGACAACTATTGTAAACCCAAAAGCAACTCCTATCTCTGTAATTCATACCCCAAGTCATACGTTAGTGAGCCTTTCCTCAAATGCCTGGATTCTTGTTATTTTTCTCCTTTGAATGACACAAGATCTCTGGGGTCCCAAACCATTGTCTCTATGTTACTATGATACTCTGAGAGTATCTGTGGGATGCATTATAAGAATCAATTCTGTGTTATAATTGTTGATGATTTGATACTGGTTCTGGTACATGAAGGGTTAGAAGATTTAAATTTTAGTCACATAAGTCTATGAATTTGGGTAGTTATTTGACTTTTTTGGGACATCATTTCCTTACATATATACTAGGGGTTATAATATTTGTTCTGCTTACTTCATAGCATTGTTGACTATGGTTATATGAAATTATGTGTATGTGAAATTATTAAACATATGTAAGACGATAGTAAATACGAAGGTAAATTTGTAGTTTGAAAAATACTGTGTACAAGATGATCTGGAAGGAGCAGAACTAATCATTGAGTCTTTACTATGTGCCAGGCGTCACTTTTGAAAATACTTTATAATTTCAGGATAATGGTTACTGCTAGGGAAGAAGAGAGGAAAGTGGCATCAATTGAATCTATAATATTAGAAAAATTGGGGGGAAAATCTGAAACAAGAATGGCAAAATGTTAGAATTCAGAAGTTCTAAATGAGTTCATAGGTGTTCACTGTGTTATTGTCTGAAACTATGGAAATATTTCATAACATTTAAAAAATAAAATATCAAGAAGATGAAGTAAGTCTTTCAGCTGGTATACTTGTGTATTTTGGAGAATTGTGTATAAACATGAATGTCTAATATCAGTTTCATGAGTATGAAAACAAGTTATTTGCCTGTTAAATAGCTAATGGGTTTTTTTTGCAGTCAAGTTTTGTTATGCTATTTTTTATTTCCACAGGTTTATAAAGTTTTGGTCTCAGTGGGCAGGAGTGAGTGGTTTGTCTTCAGGAGATATGCAGAGTTTGATAAACTTTACAATACTGTAAGTAAATGTCAGTCTTAATGATTTTTATTTTTTTTTAATTTTTTTTTTTTTTTCTTAATGATTTTTATTTAAAACAAGACATCTGAGGGGCATCTTGACTGGCTCAGTCAGAAGAACATGTGACTCTTGATCTCAGGGTCATGAGTTTGAGCCCCGCCTTGGGTGTAAATTACTTAAACAAAGCTTAAAAAAATTAAAATAAAAAATAGAACATCTGAGAAAACTTGCAAATAAGAGAGGTTTATTTGAGTGATTAAATAATATTCAGATAGAGAAGCAGAAAAGGGTATGAGATTCTTCAAAAGCATCCAAACCTTGGAATTCCTACAAAGAAGGGTGGAGAGAGGATTGTTGAGAAATTCCAAATAAACTGTTGAAGATAGGGAAACTAGATCCAGCTTAAAATACATCTTAATGTCAGAATATTAGAAATAAATTCTGGGCATGTGGGTAGCTTAGTTGGTTAAGTGTCTGACTCTTGATTGGCTCGGGTCATGATCTCATGGTTCATGAGATCGACCCCTGTGTTAGGCTCTGTGCTGACAGTGAGGAACCTGCTTGGGATTCTGTCTCTCCCTTGTTCTCTTGCTCTCTCAAAATACATAAACTTAAAAAAAAAAAAAAAAGAATTTCTTTTACTACCTCTCTAATAACTGTTAATCATCTTGTTATTTCTGGTTAAATTGCCTAGCTATTAGATTTAGGTCTGAAAGTTTGTCATAAGCTTACCCTCCTTCCATAGTTTCATTCTTGGTTTAGGGATAAGTCTTCGGTTCCAGATTTTAAGTAGCTAATACAATTAAAATGTATATGGACTTTCATAAGTTCTGACAGTAGGGTGGGGGGTAGGGAGTGTGGGAGCATTAGTTATTTAAATAATTAAAACCTGTATATTCAAAATTCAAATATTAAATACTATTTTTAATCCAGTGTTTTTGTAATTACAAATACTCCCTAAAGTAGGAAGCAAGAGCACCATGGTCATTTTAACATATCAGGCCAGATCTATGCAGGGACCAGTGTTTGTAGAGTGTGTTGCCTCTAGTCATACATACCTTGGAGGCCAAAGAATACCACCTGAGTTGGTCATTATAGACCCCAGATTATAAAGACAGCTCTGGATTCCAGTTTTTGCTTCAGTTAAGAAAAAAAGAAATTCTTCAAATCCCAAATTTAATTTTTTTCTGGCCTAAGAATAAAAAGGAGTTTCCTTCTGTATTTAATAAGTGGTAGATTACCAGGCATCCTTCAGAAAAAAATTGTTTCATATTTAAGGTAATTTTTTTCAATTTTCTTAACCCTGTCTCTTGATTTAAAAAATAGGGTTAAATAGATACATAAGTCTGTAACTCACCATTTGTAAGATACTTTATTATTATTTTTAAAAATTTATTTATTTTGAGAGAGAGACAGGGAGAGAACTAGTGGGGGAGGGGCAGAGAGAAAGGAGGACAGAGAATCCGAACCTGGCTCTATGCTGACAACAGAGAGCCCGATATGGGGCTTGAATTCACAAACCGTGAGATCATGACCTGAGCCAAAGTCCACTGAGCCACCCAGGCGCCCCTGGTAAGATACTTACAGGGGAAGTTAAGTGTGTCTCAGTTAAGAGAGAAATTACTTCCTAAATGGGCCAGAATGAACCAAACGTTGTCTAGCTGTACATCTCATGTTCTGTTAAGTCATGAAATTTAGGCTTTTCATTCATCTCTATTTAGCATTTCACTATATTTCTTCCAAATAATATTCAAATGCTTTGCTAGTTAAAATTGAACTTTTAAAATAATACTTCAGTATTTTTAAATGGTATTTTTTCCAATGTAAAATTAATATATATTCTAGAAAATCTGGAATATGGAGGAAAATACATATTTAAGCTTAAAAATCACCTAAGGGGTACCTGGGTGGCTCAGTGAGTTAAGGTCTGACTTCAGCTCAGGTCATGATCTATTGTATGGTTCACGAGTTTGAGGCCCGCATCAGCCTCTGTGCTGACAGCTTAGAGCCTGGAGCCTGCTTTGGAGTCTGTGTCTCCCTCGCTCCCTGCCCCCCCCACCCACTCATGTTCTGTCTTTCTCCCTCTAAAAAAATTTTTTTTAATCACCTAAAACATATTGCTACTCAGAGATAACTGTAGTGTTTTTACTGTGCTTTTTTCTTTAATTTTTCTATAATACATACGTAACTGAACTTTGTATATATATTTTTAAAGTGCTTAATCAAAGGATATTGAGACAGCGTTTTTTACTTTAGAGACAAAATAATAGCCAAAAAGAGTTTCTACATGAAGATCTTTTCTGCAATGTTGAGTGATTTAAAAAAAAAAAAAAAGTTTATATTGGAGGCTGGGTGAGGGTTGAATTGCCAGTTCTAGTTGAAATTCTTAGATACCATTATATACATGATCAGCATTTTTTGAGGATGGTACAGATTTGACCGTAGCTATTATGATGGTAACACACACACACATACACACAGAGATGGTTTATATAAACTTCTTAGAGAAATAAGGCCAAATTTTGTTTAGTGAACTACTAATAACTGAAAATCTGAGATTTCTTTCTGTATTTTGATTAAAAGATTATATGGGCCAGAATTAGCTTCTAAATGTGTTTGCTTCTGTAGAACTATTCATAAGAAGGAGGAATGTCAGGGATGTCACCTAACAGCTCAGCAGTGTGGAGATCTGCATGAGTAAAAAGCCATCCTAATGTCATGATGGTTTCATGATTTAAGTAGCCAGAGATTAATTAAGTAGAGTGTTAATATTTGAGTATCTTTCAGTATAAAGGTAAAGTAGGACAGTGTGTTTGAGGCACCTTCCCCCCCCCCCCGCCATGATCACTTTCATTCTTTTTCCATCATACACCCCATCTTAAGCTTTTTGCAGAAAATTTTCCTTAATATATAGTTGAGTTTTTATCCTTCCCCCTCATTTTTCCTGCATTTCTCTTCATTTTTTCTTTTTTTCTTATTTCCCCCATTTTCTCTGTCTCTCTGTTTTTCTGTAACTCTTCTAATTCTGCCTCCTGTGGTGACAGGCAAAGCAAAGAACAGGGGAATGGTACCAGTTGTGTTCTTTGAAACCACGGAAGTGAGGTTAAACCTGGCCTGGATTACCCTAAGTTTGAAAACACAGATTCTTTCCTTGTGCTCCTTTTAGAATAAAAGAAAAAACAAACAGTAAAATACCCAATTTGTAAACATTTTGATCATATAAATGTATTTTTATGAGTGTAGTTTGCATTTAAAATTTTTGTTGTAGAAATTGTTGAACACATACAGAAGTAGAATAGTACTACAAACACAGAAAATAATATAACGTACCATCCAGCTACAGCAGTTACAGATACACGGCCATTCTGGTTTTATCTCTGTCCCTAGCCTGTCCTCTGTAATTTTGAAGCAAATTTAAGACTTTGTATCATTTCATCTGTAAATATTTTTGTATACATCTCTGAAAAGATCTTTAAAAAATAGAGTACTATTATCACGTCTGAATATAATTAACAATAACATTTTAATATCAAATATTCAGTCAGTGCTTATATGACTGGTTGATAAATCTATAAAGTGTCTTTTGGTGACTAAGTTTCCCTGTCCGCCTCTCTTTTCTTTCCTTTATGATTTTTCATTGAAAAAGCAGGGTCAATTGTCTACGGATTTTTCAGTCTGGATTGTGCTGACAGCATACTCATGGTGTAGAGTGATTAATACATTCTTCTATTCTTTGTATTTCCTGACAGTTGGTAGTTAGGGATGTAGTTTATGTGTGTGTGTGGGTTTTTTTTGACGTCAAACTTAAAAATGAGTGTTAATCCACATTTATGACTTTACTGCCCTGCATTTAATGTCTCCAGGGCCAAGTTCTTTGGGGATAAGCAAATCTGATAAACAAATGTATTAAAATATGAATAAGGGGAAGGCTAGAGCAGAAGATAATTGAAAGCAAAATTCATCAGGTTTCTTAGAAAACAATTGTCAGTAGCATGTTCATATAGAAAGAACACAAAGGTCACAACTTCTCTTGAGGCAATAAACAGTGAGTAACATGTATTCAAAGCTTATACTCCAGGTTTTTGTCTAAGCACTTAACCTAAATGATTTCCTTTAAGGCTCTCAACAGATGTGTAAGGTAAGTGCTAAAATCATCTCCATTTTACAGACAAGAAAACTGAAGCACAGAAATGTTAAGTAACTTATCCAGGGTCACAAAGATACTAAATGTTCTCTTGGGACAAAATAGGATGATTAGTCAGACTAATGGTATTTTATTGGTATAATTTAATATTGTATATTTGATCATTATATACTTTAAAAGTATGTCTTATTGATGGAATTTCTTGAAAATCAGATTGTAATTTGTTTTGGTACGTGTATAACTAGAAGACTTAGAAAATTAAGTTCATATAATGTTATTTTTTTAAATTCTAGTTAAAGAAACAATTTCCTGCTATGGCCCTGAAGATTCCTGCCAAGAGAATATTTGGTGATAACTTTGACCCAGGTAAGCAATGACTTTACAGACCTGCCGTAAGTGATGGTTGAAGTTTGAAGAAGTATAGTTAATGTGTTTGTTGTGCTATATAGTAGTACAAGTCTTCACAAAGCTATTTGATCTCATGTTCTATGAAAATAATAGCTCAGGAAGGTGCTCTCTGTGTACCAGGCATTGTTTTAAACACTTAACATGCTTTAATTGATTCAGTGGTCACAAAAATCCTTTGAGGCAGGTGTTCTTATTTTCATCATCGCTCTTCTATAGATAAGGAAACCCAGGTACATTTAGATCAATTAATTTGCCCAGAGTCACAGGTATTAAGTGTCTCATTTAAAAGTTAATTCAAGCAGTCTGGCTTCAGGTAAATTTATTGGTAATTAAGGATAATTTGTGTACTTTTCTAACCATGAAGGACATTCTTTGTTACATCCAGAAACATTTATTAAATATATAGTCTGTACACAGCACCTTGCAGGCCTCTGAATGGGATACTAAGATAATGTCCTATTATTTACTCTTAGGGAGCTTAATGACACATAGATCTCAGGAGTCTGGAGCTATATGTCTCAAGCCTCAAGCCTGGAACTTTTTTCACTGGAATCCATAATATCAGTCCAGTCACAAATGGCTACATACAGAGAGACAGAAGGAAGGTTCTTTATCTGCCAGATAATCTCCTTATGCAGATTAGAAAAGCCATCTGTGCCACAGGTGAATCCTGACAAGCTAGAGTGCAGCCCATCCTCATCTATCTTACCTCTGTAACTAATTCACTTATAACCTTGTAACCTATTACACCTTTGATTCCTTACATGTGTGCTTTCTTGGCTCACTACTCAAAATATAAGCTCTCACGTCACTTAGGATATCCTAACTGTGCCTCCTGTCTGCAACTTAGCCTTATATCATTTCTTGTCCTCTCAAACCTTTTCACGGTGCCCAGTGGAATTCTGTCCACGATTAACAAACTTCTTTTTATCTTCCATCTTTTTCATATTTCTTCTATACTTTTGCTTTAATTAAACTTAGGTTTTTCCCTGTGGCTGTTTCTCCCTCTCAACTGGAGGCTCTTAATTATTCTATACTTTATGAACCTTAGGATTGGAGAGGCTGCTCACTTTCCCTGTCGTAGGTAGAATTTTTTTCTCTTGGGAGAATTTAGCACACTTTATTGTCATTGCCAGTGTGTCTTGTCTAGCTGTAGATTTTATGAACATTGGTACTTTGTCTTTTTTATCGATTTATAGTGCCTGGTAGATCTTAGGTTTTTAGTAAATATTACTTAAATACATGAATTCATTAATAAAGAGAAGCAAATAAAAAGGAAAAGGAGAGAAAGCAAGAGAAGATTGAGTCACCACAACAAAACCAGATAGTACTTTCTGTAGAATTGATTCTATAGGCCAGTGCCTTTATACTAATTTTGCTTTTAGCTGCAGAACACTTATGTCCCAAGGAAATCTTCCACAGAAAATGTTATGTGTAGAACAAATAAAAATGAGGCTGCTTTGTTGGTACAGCAGTAAAGTGTATCTGTGGAGCACAGGTTGAAAACCATCATCATGGGCAACATGTGGGTCTTAGAGTTATTTGGGTGAGGTAAATATGAAATACAACGTGGAACCAACTGTGTGTAATATACAGTAGGCACAGCAGAGAGAAGAGACAGGATGGAGAATGGGAAACTGGGTAAGCGAATATTCCAGTAGTCCTCATGTTAAATAATTAGAACCAGGACTAGGGTGGAAATGGGCTAACAAATGAGTTCATATGTAGGAATTCTTTTAAGGAAAGATCTGTAAGAAATCTTGGTGATTGCTTAAGTAAAGGAGATCTAGAGAAGAGAATGAGAGATAATTGAGGTGTCAGGACTGGGTGAATGAGAGAATTAATTAATTCGAAGTGGCAGAAGGACATCTGAGGAATCCAACTATGTGTTGCTGAATGGAGACTTGAACTCAGGCTGGAGTTCTGGAGAGCCCTTAGTTGAATCCTAATGATAGAATCGTTTCATTTTATCACAGGAAGAAGACAAAGAGATAAAAACCTGCAACTTCCTTCTTTAGGGCAAAATCCCACATAGAATGCCCTGTAGTATTTATGTTCTGGTAGATTAATTTGATACTAAAAAAATAGATTTTTATTGAAGAACAATTTGAAATCGATCCAGAGCATATTGTATATGACTTGGCAACAGCGTAATGGACCATATGTCACAGAGATCTGGAAAGCTCTTTATTGGGGAGATCAAATCTAAGCCATACTCAAACAATCACAGAGTGACAAGATGCTCATTTGATTAGGCTTTGGGGAAACAGGCATATTTTGTTGGTGGGAATGATAAGTGGTACAATCCATATAGAAGGGAATTGGGTAGTATTTAGCAAAACTATATATGCATTTCAATGTGACCAGGAAATCACATATCTAGGAATCTGTTCCAAAGATAAGCTGCATATGAAATGATGTGTATGTAAGACTGTTTATTGTGGCATTAGTCTTAATAGCAAAAACTGGAAACAACTGAAATATCCTTGCAACCTTGGAATATGATGCAGCTTTAAAAAAGAATGAGCAAGCCCTTTGTGCATTATAGTAGAGTGATCTCCAAAACACATTTTTCAGTGGAAAAGACAAAGTACAGATATGTATAATATATCTTTTTTGTATTGGAAAACATATAGAAATAATGGAAGAATAAACTGAAAAACTAAAAACTAGTGACTTTAAGGAGTAGGAAGGGGCCAGTGGGAGGCAAATGGGATAGAAGTTAGATGTTCCTGAATAAGTCTTGTTTATAGCTTTGACTTTGGAATGATGTGCATATTTTAAGTATATTTAAGAACAAAAATAAAATACAATAATAAAGCGATCTCTAACAAACTGAAGGAAAAAATCTAACTCTATTTTGATTGGTAGTGGAAACACATGGACAATAATTAAATGACTTCAAAACAGGATTTTTACTGAATAGTCCTCCTGGGATGTATGCTAAGAACAAAAAAGGATGTACAGAAAATTTTATACTGCATCCAACAATCTTATTGTTATTATATGGAATTGTTATTTGGTAATTATGTTACTCTCATGGGAACCAAAGTTTTAAACAAGAAGAAAGAAAAACATGTTTTAAATAAAAATCTTACAATTTTTAACTTAATTTGGAAATACAGTTTGAAGTCATGATTTTTTTTTCATTTTTTTTAATGTTTATTTTTGAGAGAGAGAGAGAGAGAGAGAGAGAGAGAGAGACAGAGTGTCAGCAGGGGAGAGACAGAGAGAGAGGGAGACACAGAATCCAAAGCAGGCTCCAGGTTCTGAGTCGTCAGCACAGAGCCGGATGTGGGCTCAAACTCATACACTGTGAGATCATGACCTGAGCCAAAGTGGGATGCTTAACCCACTGAACCACGCAGGCATCCCATGATTTATTTTCTTCTGAAACAACACATATTTCCTAGCTCTCACCTCTGGAAATGCCTAAAACAGTAACAAATAGCAGTGAACATCCCTAGCGTCCAGGTTGTAATCTCCAAATACCATTTCCCCCTTAAAGCAACCAGAGTTCCATGGAAAACAGTGATTCTAGATCTGGGGCAAGAAATGTATAAGATGGCCCTAGGACATCTTGCCTAAAAAGCAATGAAGCCATACAAGATTACTAAGATTTTATCAAAAGGATGCAGGAACTCAATTGATGGGGCTTTCATTGGCCAAAGATGGAACAGTTAGAACACGAGGAAAGAATTTGCCCTGTTAACTTACTTCATGCTTGACAGCCATTGTGCAGAGCTTTTCCATATATCTCTCTTGAGTTCTTTTGTGTGTAGCTTAAGAGCATGTCTCCATGTTCTTTTTTTTTCACTTCTTTATTCTGGTGGTTGCCAACATCTATAAAATAAGTTTTACATATTTGAAGGTAGATTTTAAGGGTTATTTCTGCCTATACTTTTCAAAGTTAAAATTTCATTTTCAATTTAAGGATCTTTCCGTAGAGTGCAGAGAAATAGCTATACTCTTTATATTTTGAATGGTTTAATATCAAGCCTTTTGCCAATAGGACCCTAAGGTCAATATATAAACTACGTACTGGGTTTTTTTGAAGTTTAAAAAAAAAGTTTATTTTATCTTAATTATTTAAAAAAAAAAGTACAAGGTAATTAAAATCAGTGTGAATCAAGTAAGAAACAGAGCATATGAATTTTAGAAACTACGAATGTTAGAATATATAATTGTTTGTTTAGTTTTTTATTCACAAAAACATCAATTAAGTAACTCTTATTACACTGTGTTAAGGGCTAAAGAGGGCTAAATTTTTTTAAAGGCATGACCCTTCAGTGGCTTACATAGAAACTGCTTTGGGGTGGCTGGGTGGCCCAGTTAAGCATCTGACTCTTGATTTCAGTTCAGGTCATGATCTCACAGTTTGTGGTGTCGAGCCCCACATTGGGCTCCACACTGACAGTACAGAGTCAGCTTGGGATTCTCTTCCTCTCTCTCTGCCCCTCCCCCGCTCGCTTGCTCTCCCTCTCTCTCAAAAAAAAAAAAGTTAAACCATTTTTATTTCTTTTAACTTTTACTAATTTAAGAGAAATAGGTTCATACAAGATAAAAAGACAATTCCCCATTATTATTCTAGTCTTTGAGTTCTGGTGAGGCCTAGATGTCATACCCAGCTAGTTCTTTATAAAACTTGATGTAGATACCAGTGTCTTACAAAATTTTTCTTGGTGCAGTTGTGAATGGGATCAGTTTCTTTATTTGTCTTTCTGTTGCTTCATTATTAGTGTATAAGAATGCAGCTGATTTCTGTACATTGATTTTGTATCCTGCAACTTTGCTGAATTCATGTATCAGTTCTAGCAGACTTTTGGTGGAGTCTATCGGATTTTCCATGTATAATATCATGTCATCTGCAAAAAGCGAAAGCTTGACTTCATCTTTGCCAATTTTGATGCCTTTGATTTCCTTGTGTTGTCTCATTGCTGATGCTAGCACTTTCAACA